CCTTCTCACCTTTGGCGAGGTCGCCGTCGCCCTAACGCCGACGGCGCCTCGCCTCGCCTTCTCGCCGTCGCCGTCTCGCCGCCGGCGTCTCGCCATCGCGTCGCCTTATCACCTTCGGCGAGGTCGCCGTCGCCCTAACGCCGACGGCGCCTCGCCTCGCCTTCTCGCCGTCGCCGTCTCGCCGCCGGCGTCTCGCCATCGCGTCGCCTTATCACCTTCGGCGAGGTCGCCGTCGCCCTAACGCCGACGGCGCCTCGCCTCGCCTTCTCGCCGTCGCCGTCTCGCCGCCGGCGTCTCGCCATCGCGTCGCCTTATCACCTTCGGCGAGGTCGCCGTTGCCCTAACGCCGACGGCGCCTCGCCTCGCCTTCTCGCCGTCGCCGTCTCGCCGCCGGCGTCTCGCCATCGCGTCGCCTTATCACCTTCGGCGAGGTCGCCGTTGCCCTAACGCCGACGGCGCCTCGCCTCGCCTTCTCACCGTCGCCATCGCGTCGCTCGGCGTTATCGCCATCGCGTCGCCTTGCACTGCACCTTCGGCGAGGTCGCCGTCGGCCTCTCGCGTGACATTTCCCTCCCCTGCCGCCGCCGTCGGCGTTTCACCTCTGGCGTTGCTGCCACCGCGGCCTTTTTCCTTTCCTCTCATCGCTGCAGCAAATTGCTGTTCTTGCGGTGCATTTCCCTCCCCTGCCGCCGCTGCGGCGTTTCACCTCTGGCGTTGCTGCCACCGCGGCCTTTTTCCTTTCCTCTCATCGCTACAGCAAATTGCTGTTCTTGCGGTGCATTTCCCTTCCCTGCCGCCGCTGCGGCTCTTCACCTCTGGCGTTGCTGCTACCGCGGCCTTTTTCCTTTCCTCTCATCGCTACAGCAAATTGCTGTTCTTGCGGTGCATCTCCCTCCCCTGCCGCCGCTGCGGCTCTTCACCTCTGGCGTTGCTGCCACCGCGGCCTTTTTCCTTTCCTCTCATCGCTACAGCAAATTGCTGTTCTTGCGGTGCATTTCCCTTCCCTGCCGCCGCTGCGGCTCTTCACCTCTGGCGTTGCTGCCACCGCGGCCTTTTTCCTTTCCTCTCATCACCCTTCTGCTTTCAAACCTACCATGCACAAAAGAAAGATGAAAAGGGAGACATCCTTGCTCAAACCACGACATTCGTTGCAAACGGAAGGACTAGTTCAAAGCAGGAAAATAAGGGAGTCCAAAGATATGGAGGATCGGGTCGAGAAATATGGTTGTCATGGTGGAAGTTGTCCGTTGGAGATATGTTTGGTTGGAAGAGGTTGGCAGATGTTGATCCAGTTGGTGGACAGTTGGTGGACAGTTGGTGGTGACCGGCCGGTTTTATTGTCGTCGCTGGGTTTTGTGGATGGTAGCTAGCGTTATCTAACCAGCCAGCAGCTGCAGCCAGTTATATTGCCTAAATGGGCTACGCTACGCAGCTAGCAGCCAGCAGCCAACAACCAGCATCAGCGAGTGTGCGCGTGTCACGGCTGTTGCCGCGCGTGTACAGTCTGTCGTGTTTTCGTTTGTGGTGCCCACAGCCCTGGTTGTGCACAATTGATTTTCATTTGTTTGGGGATTACCTAATTAAGGGGAGGCTACACCTTATTAAATAATAGGTGAATAAATAAAGCTGAACCATGATATCTATTTCCGCTTTATTTATTTACTTATTTATTTACTTTGTTTTAAATATCTTATTATAGATTAGTAATGCGCCTCAGCCTAATAAGCTAAGGCGTGCATTAGGGTGCCGGGGTTGTAGAGGTTATGGGTTTTCCCAGGCCTTTGCACCTCCTGTCACCGTATTTTTACTTTTTTCATTATGTAGTCAGCAGCAGCAGCAGCAGCAGCAGCAGCAGCAGCCGGCAGATCAGCAAGCAGCTGCAGCAGTGGCCATGGCCCGGGCCCTTTATCGCCAGGGTTTGCGGCAGCTTCCCTGGTGCCAGGACCCGAATGCAGGGTCGACTGGCTGCCGGGACTCGGGGCGTACGAGTCGTCCGGCCTGCCGGCACCCGCACGCAGGGGCCGGCCGTACTTTTATAACGCCCGTCTCAGGTGGGTGGATGGGTGGGTGGGCGACGTGGGTGTGGGTGTGGTGCGTACTTCGTGATTTGGGTTCAACTAGTGGTCGTGGAAAAAGGCCGCAGGGCCGCAGCGCACGTGTCGCAACGAGGCCTTGTGACTTTTGGGCAAAATAATGACATTTGGTGTTTTACCCCCCTCCCCCCCGTGTATGCTGCCCCCTTACCTATCCCCTCTGGCCGTTTCCCCCTTTATCACGCACCTCCTCTTCAGGTGCGGCTGGGGCATCAACCTGTGCGCCCCAGTGGCACCGAGCGGGCGTTGCTGATGATGGGCCCGGCTGAGGTGGGTGCGGATGGGCTTGGGGTTTTGGTGCATGGGGTGTGCGTCGTGGGGACCAGCAGCGGTACCCTTGCTTGCAACTGTCACCTAATTATGTATGTGTTAGTTGTGTCGTACTGCTAACCATATTTTGGCCTCCCGCGCCCTTCCCCCGCCTTGTCCCTTTTCCTTCAGGTGCACTGCTGGGTGCAATTCCTCCGCACCCAGCTGCACCCAGCCGGGCGCCGCCGCTGCTGGCCAGTTGGCTAGCGGCGGCGGCAACGTTGGCGGCGGCATATAGACGCATCATCATCATGATCATCATCATCATCGTCATCGTCATCATCATCATCATCATCATCATCAGTTGCCGCCATTCCAAGGCTTAATAACTTGTTGGCTGCATGCAGCGCCAACTACGAGCAATGACCGAACGAATGGTGTCGTACAATAAACGGCCATAACGACCATATAACGGTTAATAATATAATATCAATAAATGGCGAATACAGCAGTTCTGTAAACGATCGAGTGGTCAACGTTCATAATAACCAACGGTTTCGGTTGGATGGTCAAATGGAATCAATGCAGCACGAGGACTTGCGCAGCTGAACTTCCAGTAATGGGCCCATGCAAAATGATCTGGGAGGTACCTGGGCGGATGTTGTCGGGGGGGCATGGCCGGGTGATGTGGTTTGGGGTTTTGCCTCGCACAATGCGATTTGGGGGCATGGCCTGGCATGATGCGATTTGGGGGACATGGCCTGGTATGATGTGATTAGGGGGGGCATGGCCTGGCATGATGTGATTTAGGGGGCATGGCCCGGCATGATGCGATTTGGGGGGCATGGCCTGGCATGATGTGATTTGGGGGGCATGGCCTGGCATGATGTGATTTGGGGGGCATGGCCTGGCATGATGTGATTGGGGGGGCATGGCCTGGCATGATGTGATTTGGGGGACATGGCCTGGCATGATGTGATTTGGGGGGCATGGCCCGGCATGATGCGATTTGGGGGGCATGGCCTGGCATGATGCGATTGGGGGGGCATGGCCTGGCATGATGCGATTTGGGGGGCATGGCCTGGCATGATGTGATTGGGGGGCATGGCCTGGCATGATGTGATTGGGGGGCATGGCCTGGCATGATGTGATTGGGGGGCATGGCCTGGCATGATGTGATTTGGGGGGCATGGCCTGGCATGATGTGATTGGGGGGCATGGCCTGGCATGATGTGATTGGGGGGCATGGCCTGGGATGATGTGATGGGGGGGCATGGCCTGGCATGATGTGATTGGGGGGCATGGCCTGGCATCATGATATGGTTTAGGTTGAATTATTTCCTTAGTTAACCGTGCGGAGAGAAAGGATTTTGCACTCTGCGGTATGCCAGTGTTGTGATGCGCTTCCTGTGTTTGTTCTATTGTGCGTTCTGTAGTATGTTGTTACAGGGTGGTCAACTTCGCCAGCGGCCCCCTTTCCCGGGGCAGTCCCTGCTCTCCCCTGCTAGAGGGGCACCCTAATCCGTCACCCCATCCGACTTCAGAATGTATTCGTTGGGTTCGGCAACTCACCACCAGCATCCAACCAAATCTAGCGGATCAACGGCGCATCAACTTAGTTCCTGGTCAGCTCGCAAGTTGATATTATCACGTCCTACACCGTCCATAAGATGGGGGGCCACCTCCCATTTCATCACTCCTCAAACACCCGAGGAGCCGGCAGGCGGAATTGAACCCGGGTCGACTGGGTCGACTGGGAGCAGAAGTCAGGCCTTAACCTCTGCCAGCCGCCTGCCATGTAGTATGCATGTGTGTTGAGTAGTGTGCAAGTGTGTGTATGAGGTGTATGTATGTTTGTGTGCACATTTTTGCGTCAAACATGTATCCGTTCAGTTTTGCATGAGGCGGCTTTGCAACTGTATTGTTCCGGTCGAATCTTCACCGTCACCACCTTCTCCTTACCGTCGACGTTTTGCCGTCGCCATCACCTTCTCCACGTCGAATCTTCACCGTCACCACCTTCTTCTTATCGCCGACGTTTTGCCGTCGCCGTCACCTTCTCCACGTCGAATCTTCACCGTCACCACCTTCTTCTTACCGCCGACGTTTTGCCGTCGCCATCACCTTCTCCACGTCGAATCTTCACCGTCACCACCTTCTTCTTACCGTCGACGTTTTGCCGTCGCCATCACCTTCATCCCGTCGAATCGTCACCGTCACCACCACCTTCTTACCGTCGATGTTTTGCCGTCGCCATCACCTTCTCCACGTCGAATCTTCACCGTCACCACCTTCTTCTTACCATCGACGTTTTGCCGTAGCCATCACCTTGATCCCGTCGAATCTTCACCGTCACCACCTTCTTCTTACCGCCGACGTTTTGCCGTCGCCATCACCTTCTCCACGTCGAATCTTCACCGTCACCACCTTCTTCTTACCGCCGACGTTTTGCCGTCGCCATCACCTTCTCCACGTCGAATCTTCACCGTCACCATCTTCTTCTTACCGTCGACGTTTTGCCGTCGCCATCACCTTCTCCACGTCGAATCTTCACCGTCACCACCTTCTCTGGTATAATTTGGTTTGGGGGCTTTGCCTGGACCTATGCTATTTGAGGGGTTACCTGGCGCAATGTGGTTCGGGGGTTTGCATGGACCGATGCTATTTGGGGGTTTGCCAGGCGAAATGTGGTTCGGGGGTTTGCATGGAACGATGCTATCTGGGGGATTAACTGGCATAATGCAGTTCGGGGGTTTGCATGGACCGTTGCTATTTGGGGGGTTATCTGGCATAATTTGTTTCGGGGGGTTTGCCTGGACCTATGCTATTTGAGGGGTTACCTGGCGCAATGTGGTTCGGGGGTTTGCATGGACCGATGCTATTTGAGGGGTTACCTGGTGCAATGTGGTTCGGGGGGTTTGCATGGACCGATGCTAATTGGGGGGTTAACTGGCATAATGCAGTTCGGGGGTTTGCATTGGACCGTTGCTATTTAGGGGGTTTATCTGGCAT